AGTGGATAGTGGGTGGGGCTGTGTTTGACACTCAGAGATAACACGGAGTGTTGACTCAGCAACTAGAGAGAGGTGGGGGGTGTTCCTCAGTGCTGGGTGTAACTCCATGGACTCAGTTGAGTGACAGGACCCTGCCGTGTCAGAGTGTATTTTCTACTTTAGCTAAGGAGAGGGAGGTATAACGGCTATTCAGATGGCGATCAGTCTTCATAGTGCTAGCAGGGTAGAGGAGGCAAAAGGCCCTGAGGTTGGTGCAGACTCAAAGGGAAAACTACTGTAGGTCCTTAACAGGTGGGGAGGGGCAGGGAATGACCTAGTTGGCATCAAGAGAGGTGAAGGTCCCACGGCATTGAGGCTGTGGGTCTAGCCACAGACATGATGTCCAGGGCAGATGTGGCCCCTAAATATGCTGTGGGGTGTGCACAGCTTTAAGCTTATTTGCAAGGTAGCCTGTACACACCATCCCAGAGGCTTGAGTTTTGTGCATCCCAGCAAAAGTGGACTGTTTGGATGCTCACCCTGGGCTCAGCTGTGGACATTGTTAGCCAAGCTGCAGGCCTGGGGACCAGATGCCCATCAAGGACCCAGCTGTTCCTTGTCACCTAAGAGGACCAAGATCTCCCAGGTGACCAGCCTGGGTCTCCTCCCTCTGTAAAGCAGAAATGGCAGTGCCTTGCTCTCCAGGGCCATGTGAGTCCATAGTCCAGGCTGCCCCACACACTGCAAGGCATACCGAACTGAATGTACTGGTCACCGCTTGCTGTGCTGCACGGGTGTGTGATGTGATAGTTAATGCTGGGGACATCTCTAAAGGACTTTTGCATGGCAAGAAGACACCTGAAGTTTGCCTCTGTCACAGAGCTTTACTTCATCTTGCTCATATCACAGTGCTGGTCTCTGGGTCCCTTCGGTGACAGCAGACTCTTCCTCAACAGCACTGAGTGCAGATGGGGAAAGGACTTGCCAGTGAGTAGCCCACGGGACTCCACACACAACTGGGGAGTCTGAGCTCCAAGTAGCATGAGGACTTGGACCCTAGAACAGCCGGGATCAGGGCGTGCCCCAACCGCTCCTTTGTGGCAGGCAGCGTGCACACAGCGAGGCCCACTTCCCAGCGTCCCCATGTAACCCAAGGCCAGACTGTAGAGCAGCTGTGTCCAGCTCGGCATCTGCACAGGGTCCTCTCCTTACCTTCCCCTCTCTTCCTTCCACTGAGCCCATCTTCCTGGCCATGACCATGCAAATTGAGTCAGTATAGGGAGGGGACCCACAGGCAGGGGGACACATACCTTGACCTGTGTATACAAACAAACCTTGCACACCTAACCAGATGTAATTGATCCACAAGTATCTCCTCCCACCACACACACACACACACACTCCAGTTGTCATTGAAAACCCACAGACCCGCCACCAAGCTTGGTGGTGGCAGCGTGGCAGAGGGGGTGGGGCTGCGGTGCAGGAGTAATTGGTGAACCCGGGGTGAATGAAATAATTGGAAAAGTGAGGTGTGAGTTTGTTAGGGAAGTGTGAGCCTGTGGGGGAGGGGAGGAGGGCTGTGTTTAAAAGCCCGCACTGGCCTCTTTATTCACAGCTTCTGATACAGTAATTGCTATTTTGTGGTTTCTATTATCTACACAGTGGGGAGCGTGCGCAGCTCCGTCCCCCAGCGTGCTGGGCTGGGGATGAATCCCTGGGTGCTGCAGTTTCCCTCTCTCCCACCCTGGTCCTGGTGGCCCTGCCCAGCCTCTCCCCACTGACCGTGGCCTTGGCTCCCAGGAGACAGGGTTCACGTGGAACTCCCTTCAAAGGCCTCTTTTAAAAACTGGCCTCACAGACCTGGCCAGCAGATAAGAACCTTCATAATGACTGGCATTTATATGTCGCTTATCTCCTTGGAGTGAAAGGTACTTCATTGATTTTTTTTTCTTCCTCCCCCAACCTTCTCTTTTCTCTTTAATTCTCTTCAGCTATCTCTCTCCAGTCCTTGGTGCTGGCCTCCCATGATCCCACATCACACAAGCACCAGGCAGGAGCCAGTCTCTTGCCAGCCCTGTCCCTGAGCACCAAGGGCAGGAGCTCACCTCGAACCTGAGTCACTTTTGCCCTCTGCCCCTTGCTTTTCTCATCTGTTAACCAGAGGTGGTGACAGTGTTGACTCCAGCACTGTTACATCTGGGAGTGGCAGGTAGCCCGTAGGCTCTCTTTTATAACTGGGGTGACATTGACAGTGTCCTGAAGCCTCCACTGTACATTTCTAGAAATGTCTACAGATACTGGGAAGTTCTTCGGAAAATCTAACCCTGACTCTCCAGCTCTTCCTCAGCCTGCCTCTCTTGCCCTGTTCTTAGAAGTTGCTTTTCACGGGGAGCCATTTCCCTGAGTGAAGTGCCTGGGGTCTTCAGGCACTTGTTTCCTTGGTCATTCAGTTGGCAGTCTAGAAGCCCCAAGCCAGGGCTCTGGATTTCCTCAAAGGCCACCAGCTCCCATCCCCACCCCGGCTCCTCAGCGGTTCTGACTGCCATGGCTCCCCCGCCACATTCAGATGCACATCCTCAGACCACAGCCACTCGCCCCCTTCCACCTCCTTGCCAGCTTCTTTCTCCACCTTTTAATTATTTTCCTCGCTTCCTCCGGCCCCACAGCTGCTTACCATGCACCGAGCATCCACGGCTCATAGCAAGCTGCAGAGGGGAGGAATTAACCTCAACAGCACCCCCTCCTCTGTCTCCCTTCCCCAACCCCCTGACATAGAGACAGACAGACAGAAAGGGGGTGCACATGGGCCTCCCTCTCTTCCCCCTTGATCCTGGGTGGATCGATAGGACCCTAGATTCTGTGCAGGCCAACCACCCCCACACAGAACACACGAGCGCGCACGCGCACACACACACACACACACACACACACACACACACACACACACACACACACAGAGGCTCCTCTTCACCCTGGACTTGGTCACATTTTGGGAAGAAAGAAGCCCCACTTGTGGAAGAGACTGGTAACTATGGGGGACAGACCAGGCTTGAACTGCTGTTTCCCACCCAGAACCAGGCTGCTTCTCCAGAACTCCGTCGGTTTGTAAAACAGGGCAGAAAGACTTGAAATGATGAATGCCATAGCTCCTTTCTCAGTCACCCCCACCTCTGTAGGCCACCTCCCATTGTTTGTTCGTTCTGGAAGTGACTCTAGCTAGCAGCACCTGCACAGGGCGAGCCTTGGGCTCCAAGCCGTAGGCACAGACACAAGCAGGATTGGTGTGGTTTCTTCCACTGCTAAAGTAACACAGCACCTCCTCTCCCTCGCACACACACCCTCAGGGGCTGGTGGAACACAGTGGGTGGTGACTTGTGAAGGTGGCTAACAGGTGGCTGGAGATGGGGAGGATCTGGAGAGCCAGGTGTTGGCATCCTCCATTCTGTCAGAGACAACTGGCCTAGTTGCCCCAAACCTCCTAGCCTCCTTACATTGTATGTAAAGCCCTCTGACCTGGGCCCTCAATGTCCCCAAAGGTGTCATTGCCAGCAAGTGACCAATAAGCCGTTTCTGTGGACCAGCATGGGAGCAAGCCTGTGCATCCTGGCTATCCTTATCCCAGGCAGTACTGCAGACTCACTGGAACTGGGTCCAGGGACCAAAGGCCATGTCATGGGATGTGCAGGCCTTTAGGTGGCAGAATAAAGCAGGGTTTGCCAGCTGTGTGCCTCTATCCACTCTCCAGGCTTCTCATCTGACCTGCTCAGACTCAGGACCCCTCCAAATCAGCTAAGAGTTCCCTCTCAGCAAAGAATCTTGCCAGGTTCCCCTCTGCCTCCTTCCCATCCTGGGGAGGCTGGCCTTGTCACCAGCTCCATTCCCAGCGGCCTGTGAAAGAGTGGGGGTGGGGGCTGCCGGGGAGAGCTGGACGTGCCGATTCATTTTGAGGCTTCATAATGCTGCATTTACACACTGTCCTGCTTCAGAAATAGGGCCGGCAGATGCCTGCTCATGCTGTCAGGGCTGCGGGTTAACGCCTCAGATTTAACTTATATCATTTTGTGAGTGCTTACGGCCTGCGCTGTGTTCTTTACCCAATCGGTCCTTGGCCTGGAACATCCCAGACCATGGCATGTGACTGTGTGGACCCAGAAGCCACCAGAGAGTGTAGATTTTCAAATAAAAATAACACTCTCTCTGGATGCTGAGCGCATTAAATATTTATCGGTGGCAGTGTGCTTGTACATATTTGATAAATGGACATTACAAAGGGATTGGGGTTGGGGCATGCGGCCAGGGGACCCCGAGGAAGCCCGTTCCTTTTGTCCTAGAATCTTTCAAAGGTTAGCCTGGTGGAAAGGAGAGGGGTGACCCTAAGGCCACCACAGTTCCCTGATGAGTCTGTTCCAGAGTGCTGCTTGACTTTAACAGTATCAGAAGGGAAGCTTGTGGAGGGCCCGGGGCTAGCAATGTGACTTCAAAGTGCTGAGCCCTCAGGCATCTCCAGACCTCAAGTCCTAGGTTTACAGAAAGGATTCCATGGCTTAGGGTCAGTTCACTTAGGCTTGGCATACCCCTGCCTCCAGAGTAGAGGCTGCCTGGGAAAGGTCAGGGGACCCCACCGACATCCTGAGCCTTGACTGTCAAGCACAAACAGTCCCTTGCTGTGGCTAGGATCTTCCTGGCCTGGCACAATGTGTGCATGACTCATCCCATGGGGAAAGGACAGGTGTCCCCCAGGTGGCAGAAGAGGCACCAAAAATTTCCCATCAGCACCTCCAGCCCGATGGTACCCTCCCTCCCCCACTTGGTGGCCAGCAGGGAGAAGGAAGCCACGCCTTCATAGTGAGGACTGGCAGTGAGGAAGTGGGAAGCCACATGAATGTGCCTGGGTGGTAGGTGTTCCTGAAACCAGCCATCTCTGTAACCTGCAGGGATTGGCTCCTGAACCTCGGCCCAGAACCCCTGCCTCCCTCGCAGGCCTCCATCCTTAATCTCTGCTGTTGGCCTTTTGTCTCTAGCACCTTTGGGGAACTGAAGACAGTGCGCCTGCCAAAGAAGATGACGGGGACGGGCGCACACAGGGGCTTCGGCTTTGTGGACTTCGTCACCAAGCAGGATGCAAAGGTGAGTGCTACCGCCCAAAGAAGCAGGGATCCTCTGAGTGCCGCTACCTCATGTTGCCGACTCTCCCTGACTGCTAATTTAGCCAGTATCCGTGGAGGAAGAGCAGAGTGTGGGGTACGAGGGCCAGGTGGTATGTGTCCGTGTGTACATGGGTCCATCATACATGTGCAGGAGCCTAGGTTGACCTGTTTCTCAGGCTGCTGTATGGCAGGGAGAAGACACTGGAACTGGGCGTTGTAGATGTTTAAAACAGCTTGGGCAGGAATGGGAAGGGTGTCCAGAAAACAGTACATGGGGTGGGACCTGGCTCCCCCCCATCCCTCCACTTGTGGCCAGTTCCATCCTTTGCTAGTGACACCAAGGGCCACCCCTGCAGCACACATGCACACGTGCAGATCTTTCTCCAGTATGCAGAGGGCAGAACAGCCTTGGGGGTTGCGGTTATTTTTGCTTGTTTGCTACATATGTGTTTGGTACGTGTACATGAGTGTGTGAAATGTGGAGATCAGAGGACAATTTGCAGGAATTGGTTCCCTCCTGCCCATGGGTCCTGGGAATTGAACTCAGGTCATCAGGCAGGCACCCTTACCCAGTGAGCCATCTTGCCATACCCCTGTAACCACCACCATCCAGGGCTTTGAAGCCCAATGGCTGCTCTGCGTTCAGGCCAAGATAGCAGCCAGGCTGTGGTCCTGCCAGTGTCTAGGAACCACTCTCATGGCCTCAAGTTCCAAAAGGCCGGGTTGTGCAGGAGAGGGCTGCTGGGCTATCCCGTACCCCATACTGAGCACTGCGTGTACAGCCGTGACCCTCCGTTGCCCCTAGCTTTCCTCCCTGGAAAATGGAGCATCCAGGACGATTCCCAAGCGGCCAGGGCTCCTCCCCCCCCAGGGGGCATGCTGCTGAAGAGCAGAGTGGCTCTGAGAGCCAACTGTGGTGTTGCAAGGGGCCCCTTGCACAGTGTGGAACAGAAGGGACAGCTTAGGATATAACCACTACCTAGACAACCTGGGCTCCCACAGGCACAGGGTACCGGTCACCTCCATCTCCATCACTCCACTTCAAGTGCCTGCTTCGTTGCCTAGACACTTGTCCTCTCCCTCAGCTGGCAGCCCTTCCCTGGTCACCTCCAACAGTGACAGAAGGGACAACACACTGCAAGCACTAGGTCTTGGCAGCCAGAGAAACAGTGACACTGAAGGCAGCTTGGCCTTCCCTAGCCTTGCCCTGTGCCTTGGTTTTCTTACCTATGAAATGGATTGATGGTAGTGACCCCGCTCCAGTTTTGTGACAGGTGAACCTGTGACCCCGGCTCACTGGCACATGGCAAATGCTTAATACCAGAGGCCCTGAGCCATCCACCCCTCGCTCTCAGGTCTGCACACCCATGACACCCTGTCAGCAAGGCAGCAATAGGAGGCTGTGAGCACTGTATCCAACTCTGTTCCCGGGCATGGGATGGGTGGGTGGGGTGGCAGAGGTGCCATTGTCAGTTTCCTGTCCAGACAGTGCTGTCCTCTCTGCCCCCGAGAGGTCTTTCACCAGTGTCAGCCCCAGACTTGTGCTCACCGTCTGTGAAGCCATGGCTTCCCCTCAGTGCGACCTCGGAAAAGTGACTCGCCCTCCTTGCTCCTCTCAGCTCTGACAGGGCTGCTGGGGTGATGCTCTGAGACCAGGGCCTAGCCCCTTCCACACAGTGACTGCCCTGCCCAAGGTCAGTGTCACAACTGGCCTGGCACATGGCCTGAAGGGACAGGCTCGGGGTGGGTGTCCACACCCCCACTTCCGTACCACAGTACAGTCCTGAGTCCCTGGGGCACAGGACAGTCTACACCCAGTTGACTGTACAGTACCGAGGCCGGATGCAATTCACTCCCAACCCCAAGCCAGCCCCCTCAGCAGTGAGGTGATGGCTTCTCCCCTCTGTCCCTTTCCATTCTTGGCTCCTTCCAGGAGAAAGAGCAGCTGAGGACAGCGAGGGCTCTGTGCCCTCCCTCACTAGTGCTAATTTGGGCCTCTCCATCCGTGCAGCAGTCCCCTGCCCTCCCCCCCCCCATGCCAGGACTCACCCTTTGTTCCCCACTGTGCCAGTGAGATCACCTTATGGAAGTGGGGCGAGCTACGACCCCCTCCCTCCCGCAATAGTCCCTTGCTCTTGTTTCTTGGGTCAGCTATGTCTCTCCCCCTGATTGATCCCCTTGGTCTATCAGCAGAGCTGGGTTGTATGCTGAGTGGCAGTATGGGTGCTTTTCACCTGCCGTAGATGCATGCGCCCTGCACACAGTGTGGCCACACTCTGAACATGGAGCCATTCTTTAGCTATGGCTTGTGGATGGGGTTGCTCTGCGGTGGAGAAAGGGTGGAACCCAACCAAGCTGGAAAAGGGCCTCTCGGGCCCCGCCTCTTGGAACATGTCTCCCCAGCCTCCTTTTTGCATGTGATTTTGGGGGGGAGAGGGGGGGCTTTAGAAACACCTGGTTCTCCCAATGGTCTCTGACCCCCTTGAATGCCTTCTCCTGCCTTGACCCTTCTCCATGCAGACTAGCAGCCTGTCACTGGGTACCTGCAACCTTGTAAACTAGGAGGCCTCCTCAAGCCATCCTCAGACATAGAAGGAAAACCAGAAGGGAAGAGGCATGGAAGAAAAGTATGACAGCCACTAGGGCTGAGGCAGAAGGCTACGTTCATTGCTAAGTGGAGGATCATGAGGCCGGAAGGCCCAGAGAGACTCTGGTCTTCGTGGAGGGGTGGACAACCAGTCCCCACTTCATCCCAGCCACTACATGTCATCCTGGTGTCAGGCTCTTGCCCTGGCCCCACAGTGTAAATGTCATGGTATACCTTCCCACAGAGGCCCACTGAGCCCTCAACAGGTGCCCACTCCTTACCCTGGGATGAGGAGTTTGGTTCTCTCGCCACGCCTTACCTCATGCCTCACGTATCCTCAGGGACTGTGACCCCTCAGGCACATCGCCCTGCCCAGCCCAGGGTACCACATCAGGTGGAGAGTAGCATCTCCCTCTCCTGACCTTGCAGAGCCCCAGGCCACCCCTGGCTGATACTGACTTCTCAGGCAAATAGGAGAAAGGACTGGGTTACCTACAGTCACAGGTGCTGGTGACCTGAGCCTCGGCTGTTCGTGCAGGCGACTTCTCCCTGACGAGGGTGTGTGATCAGCCTCATGTTCTCGGCCGTAAATGCCAGTCCTGCTGCCCGCGTTATCTCAGCCTCCATGTTTCTCGAGAGCCTAGCCCTGTATGAAAGAGGGAGGCCCGTGTCAACTAGGAGACCGTAGCATGGGGCAGGAAGTCACGTGGCATGCATCCTACCTACGTGTGGAGTCGGTCTCTGATGATAAAGCCCTTCTAATGCCCCATCTTTGGAGTGCCCCCCGGGGTGTTGGTGGTGGATTGTTTGACGGGTGGGGAGATAACTCGGTGTTGTACAGCCGTGCCCCTCCCTCCTGCCAGGCACTGGTTTACCAGAGTGCTATCCTTCTTCCAACCTCACCCATCCCTGCTACCCAGCTTCAGTGCCTCACCCTGGAAAAGTGCTCTCTGGGTAGAGACAGGCAGAGAGGCCAAGAGGTCCCATGAACAGCTTTCTGAGGAGCAGCTGCCTTCTGCACTGCTGAGCTCCCTCCTGCCCACCCCAGCTCATGGACAGGCAGGCAGTGGAGACTCCTGGGCAGGTGGATTTGGCCCCCATTGGCTAGACAGCCACCAATAGGCACTGGGCTTCCATTCAGGCCCCACCTTCCTTTCTTTACATAGCCCAGGCTGGCCCTGGAGGAAGGAAGGAGGAGCAGACAGACACCCAGAACCCAGAATATTGATTGTGCCCCACACAAGGTGCCTTTTCTCCCTCCCGAGCCACGCTCCTTTGTACTTTTGTGGTTGCAGCTGTTTTAGCCACCGACACTGTTGTTTTAAAAGGCCTATTTTCACATAGAATGTTATCCAATTAGCAGAGCAATGTGTTGGCTTAAATAAACACTCGGGGGGAGCCGGCAGCCGGAGATGCGATGGCGGCTGGCGTTGGCAGGCAGAGCTCGCTGTGATAAACAACCGCCGCTTTAATTGTAGGGTCGCATGCGTCTCCTTCCTCTTTCCTGCTTCTCCGTCATGGTGGGTGGATGCCCAGGGAGCGAGCGACAGGCTGCATGGCCTGAGCTCATGCTGGCTGGTTATGCCATGTGGTGCAGCGGGCACTTCAGTGAGATGGGGTGGCAGAATTGGTGATGAGCAACAGGACAGAGCTTCAGTAGCGTGTGCTTAGCACAACTGCATGATGGTGTGCAAGGGGGAAGAACAAGGCGTCAGTACAGTGGGGTCTCAGGGATGACCCCCAAGGAAACACCCCTCTTCCAACCAAGCAGTGCCAAGCGGGCACAGAGCAGCCCAGGGCTTCAGAGCTGCTTTCCTGCTCCACATGTGGGTCCCTGCGCCCAGGCGACCCTGCCCCACAGCAGGAGCTGGGGACACTGCCCTTCGGGAGTGGCAGGGCATGAGAACAGATGGTGTGGTGCATGTGCTGGGGACGGGGAGGCAGCTGAGTCCTGGGCTCTGAGGTTCCCTGCTGCATTGAAGCCTGCATTGATCGGTTGTTCTGTGTCTGCCAGAATGCTGCCAGAGTTAACCCAGGCACTGGGGTTTCAACCCCAGTTTTCTGTTTGCATGTTATGTGCAAGATCACACTGGCATTTGAGTGGTGCTACTTTGCCAGGCTTCTGTCACCACAGTCCAAAGGTATAAATTCTAGTCATTTCAAGGCAGGGGACTCAGACTCCGCCAGCACATGTGAGCTAAGATCAGGTACTGCCCAGGTCACCGCCGAAGCGTAAGTAGGATCACACTGTGCCATGCTGCCAATTGCAGCCCTGTAGACCTCTATGGGGATCGAGGCCTGCCAAGGCACCTTGTAGACCCAAGCAAAGACCTGGCTTTCAGACCTGTTGTGTACAGTGTGAGCCAGGGGAAGGTAGAAACCCAGCCATGAGGCGTGCATAGGACCAAGGAGCGTCCACTGCCTTGCTTAGGTCACTGACTGCCTCTAGAGCTCACAGTTCCTCACACGGAATTGAGAAAGGGAAATGTAGAGGAACTTGTAGCAGGTTACTGGACAGTGCAGGACCCAGCCTGGTCATCACTGCCTATCACTTCTTACCCTGGCCACCTGGCTCCTGCCCTCCTGAGGGTGCTTTAGACCTGTAGAGACAGGAGTGGAGCCCCTCCCTGATTCACCCCTCTCTGCTACAGCATTTGTCATTTGAGTCAGGGCTGTGTCCTCGGAGCTTAAGTTGACTGGATTGAGCTGCTGGAATGACTGGGGGTGCATCTGTCTCATACAGTCAGGTGCGGTCTGCAAGTGGGCCTGTGGCTGTTGGTCTTGGATTGTCACCCTCCACTCCTCAGTGTCTAGTGGTTTGAATAAGGATGGTCCCCATAGGTTCCCAGGAGTGGAACTGTTTGAAAGAATTAGGAGATGTGACCTTGTTGGAGGAAGTGTGTCACTAGGGATGGGCTTTGAGTTTTCAAGTGTGTGTGTGTGTGTGTCTGCAAATCAGAATGTAGCTCTCAGCTGCTGTTCCAGCACCATGCTCCCCGCCATGATGCTAATGGTCTAAGCCTCTGAAACTATAAGCCAGTTCCCCAACAAAATGTTCTCTTTTTGTTTTATAAGAGTTGCCTTGGTCACGGTGTCTCTCCACAGCAACAGAACAGTGACTAAAATAGTGTCACTTTTCCGAATGGACTATAGAAGTCACTCCATGTTACACAAAGAGCTAGGACACACTCCTACCTAAGAGGCAACTTCTGGGCAGGGCAGAAGCAGCTGGGAAGGAGTGATGACCCCTCGTACAGGAAATGCAAAGCACCATGAGAGACAGACTCTCCCCTGGAAGTCCCTACCTGGTGTTCCTTCCAAGCCTGATAGGACTTGGCTCCTCTGTCCCCTATGCCCAGCGGCCAGGCCCCTGCATGCACATGGCCACTCCTAGCCATCTCTTCCCTCCCCCTCCCCCTCTTCCCCTTCAGGTTTTCCCACAGATGATTAGGGCAGGTTGGTGGTGTCAGTGTTAGGGTACCTGTAGCATCTGCAGTCCTCTGGCTCTCCCAGGGATGGCACCCAAGTAGCAGAGGGACAGGGCCAGGAGGCCGCTGACATCTAAACTAGGGTCCATCCTTGCCCCTGCCCACAGCGAGGGATCAGCCAGTCCTCTGTAACCAAATGGGACCGAGTCCTGCCGAGGGCACAATATGGTTTTGGTTGCTGGGAGAAATGTTGTCATCAGGGAAACTGCATAAAGGTCAGGTCCAGCACGGCTCTGGCAGCATTCCAGAACCTTCCATGGCCTTAAAAGATAGCCACCAGGTCCAACTTGATTGCAACCTGGGTTGGTTCCCCACTTTGCCTGAGCAGACTGGCTTCCAGGAAAGATCAGGACAAGGAGACAGGAGACCGTAGCCCTGCACCTAGGAGCTGGGCCATAGGCTTCCTAGCAGGCCAAGGTGATGGTGGATATGTCTTTCCTGTGCCATCAGGTGGGTTACTGTGTCCATTCAGCAGAGCCAGACCCAAACCATGTCATCACCAGGTGTGTGGTGACCCTAGCTATGCTGTCACTGTGTCTTTGTGCTCTGAAAGTCAGGGTTGAAAGCTATGATGACATGTTTAAGACAGAGCACACCGACCATCCACCCAGTGTGGAAACATGTTCTCAAGACCGTCAGTGAAGGGGACTCTGGTTTACTGAGAGCAGTGTCCCACTAAGGAAGGGATAGGGTGCCTTTCCTCCAGGGTTCAGGGTGTGCCAGGCACAGGGTGGCAGAGCCTTCTCAGACAAGGCCACTGTCTCAGACAAGGAGGTGGAACACACACAGGCCCTCAGTTTGTCCCTTGTTGAAGTGGGAGACCAGTGACTCTTCAGTGGAATAAGCAAGCTGGAGTCATGTGGCTGGTGGGGACTCCCTGGGCCACAAGAATACTGTTGGTCTCAGGGATAACAGAAAGCCACAAGACTGCATGTTCCTCCAGGGACAAGCCCCCAGGCTGTTTTGGCAAAAGTGTGTTCCCTGAGCCTTGCCTCTCTCCGGCCAGGTATAGGGGAGAAGCTGCCAGCGGTCCATATTCTTCCTGCTCAAGTGCCTAGAATCTTCCATGTATCTCGGGTGTGTCCTTGCTCCAGCCTAAACCCCCCCCCCAAAAAAAAGTGGGCCTTTCCTTCTCATTCTATCCCTAAGATACCTCAGACAGACAAGCATCCATCACCTTCTCGGGAAGCTTGTGCTCTGTATTCCCTAAGACTGGCTTTAGCCTCTAGTCACTGTTCTACCCCATGAGGAAAGTTTAAGAATACCACAGTCCAGCTCAGGAAGTGGGCACGCGGAGCATGACCTGGTCTCTATCAGCCCTCAACAGTCAGAGCTGGGAAGGGCTCTGCTATTTTTGGAGAACCCCATATTGTGTTCCAGAAAAAAAACAAGAGCTTTTGTGTGCAGGCACATGTTGTACCCGACAGCATTGCCTCAGGACAGTCAGTCCTCTAATCTGACTAAATGACTCCCTGAATCTCCCCATCCCCATCTGTGTTGCTGTTTCATCTACTTGTGATGAAACCTAAGTTCAGAGGCCTTAAGCAGCTTAGCCAGCGTCACACAGCTTGGAAGTGGTAGAACAGGGATTTGAACTGAGGTAGCCTAGCTGCAGAGCCACAGCCCCCACACCTCCAAGTACTTGAAAGCCCTTCTGAAGAGGAACTAATAAAGTGCCAGAGGGGTACAGAGAGGGAACACCAGGGAGAGGCTCTTAGCAGCTCACACAGTGAACAGAGACATCACCCGGCCTTCTGAGGCACAAGGAGAAAGAAAATGAAGGCTGGGGTGGGGGCAGCTTTCCTGGGCCTCCCTGCCCGGATTAAGTGTGGGTGGAGTCGTCACCAGATGCAGCCCTGGCTGTCCCAGACTGCTGTGTCCCCAGGATGCAGCTCCTCCGAGACCCTCACCAGACTCCCTACCAGTTCCTCTCCCGGTCTTGAGGGACTTGACTCCCCCAGTCCCACGTCTCCCTGCCTTGCCAGCTGAGCACTCGCGCTTCGGAGCTCAGAATGAGCCATTTCGGCTCGGGGGCCAGATGCATTTTTATATCTGCCTGGGAAAAAATGGCAGGGGTTCTGCTGGCAGTCAGGAGAGGCTTCTAAATTAAACTTAAAAAAAAAGTGTTGGGGTGGGGGCTGCACCTGGCCCTTCTCAAGAGTGCAGAGAACAAAGCGTGAAAACCTTCCTTCTCGTGACTATTTAATGCTTCTGCCCCACCCCACCCAGCCCATCCCCAAGCCCTACCGTCCTTCCAGATTCTGTTTGTCCTAAAGGACTCTAGGTGCCACCTTCATAACTTGATCTAAGTCCTGTAGCCTTTCCAAGATGGAGCATGACCCAGCTGGGACAGTGACTAGCACAGGGCCCCAAACCAAGGTAGTGTGGGGTGACATGTGACCGGAGCCTCCCTCCCATTTGCTGGCCACAGCTGGTGATACTTGGTATTGGGTGGCTGGTAGACTCGCCTCCCTAGGCCCTGTCTCCATCTCCACGTGATGCGCCTGTGTCTCATGCTAGTCCTTTAGAGCTTGCCCCAGTGTGACCTGGTTCCTTGAACCACTGGTTTCCAGCACAGTCACCTCCCAAGGTGCCCAAGGTCAGGATCCGACATGTGTTCTAGGGGATGCATTCCAACCATAGTGGTCACATCATGGGCAAGGGACAGTGACTGCTTCCAGGCCTCCCTGGTCAACCAGGTGTCAACAGCACGTGAGGAGCAGACTCACAGCCCTTCTGGTCCCATCTCACCATCCTCCAGATGTCACCCCACCCCCTCCCGCAGGAGCCCAAGAGCATCCGCTAAACCTTAGGGCTCTCCAGAGAAGAAAGCTGCAAAGAGAATTTGTCTGGGAGCACAGGAGAGGGGCACAGTGCTTGTACCCCTCACTGTGTTACCGCATGTCCTCTGGGGTCCCAGGTCTAGGTGTGTTCACCCTGCCACTTAATGATGCTGAACCTAGAAGGTTCACTTCATCTCTTGTAAAAAGGAAGCACGGGGTCTGCCTTGCTCCAGACATGGTGACTCTAGAGCCCGCAGACTTCTTGGCCACCGACGTCCTGTGTTAGTGACCGGACTTCTTCCTGAAGAATTGGAGGCCGTCCCTGCACAGGGCCACTCAGTCTCACAGCCAGCCATGTTTACAAAGGGCTTTGGTCGGTGCTGTCTGGTGATCATATGAATACCCAGGGTGGGCACAGCCATACAAGCAGAAAGTGGTCTCTATGAGCTGGGAGAAGAATTGGGGGACTTGAGGAGTGACAGCCAAGGTGCTGTTTCTTTTGAGGTGGTGATGGAATGTTCTAGAATGCATATGCTGATGAGTGCATATAAATACACAGATCTCAGTTTAGTGTTTAAGGGAGGGGGAGTGGAGCTAGGCAGCGCAATGAGAAAGAGCCTGTTTGAGGCCTGAGCTGCTGAACTGGGCACAGGAGCCTGTGGTGGAAGGGACAGGGGACCCGTAATGAGACAGCAGAAACAGACAGGACAGAATCAAAGAACAGATGGGGGATAGGCACAAGGACAGTTAAAGAAAGTGGCATCAAGTAACCATGGGGACTGTGTCCTCTGGTGACCAGGCAACTGGGTTTCTCACCTGACACCTTGTCAGGTGGGGCCGCCCTTCGCATGGGCCACCCTGACCCGGGCAGTGGATGTGTGGACTGCTCAGTGGCTTGTAATTCTTTCCCTTGAAACATCCTTTTCTAATTAGGTGGGTGTGCCAACAGCACCCCAATGCCTCACCAGACACCCAGAGTCACAGGGGTGGAGGGAGGGAGGCTGTGCGGAACACCTACAGCTCCTGTGCTGCTCTTTCTCGCCCCCTGCAGAAAGCCTTCAATGCACTGTGCCACAGCACCCACTTGTATGGCCGGAGGCTGGTTCTGGAATGGGCAGACTCAGAGGTGACGGTGCAAGCTCTCCGGAGGAAGACAGCCAGGCACTTCCAAGGTAGGCATGGCCTGGCACTTGCCTGGCTGATTCGGGGCCTCTGGGATTGGGACTTGAGACAGGTACTGCCTGGAGAGCTGTTCTCACTTGGGTACAGCCCCCGAGGCCTGTTGTCACTCAGCCCCCTTGTGTCAGGACAGCCACACGCACTGTCTCCTTGTCATCTTGGAGGCAGGTAAGGCAATGGGGGCCAGGCAAGCAAGAAGGGAGGTCAGTTGTCTCCACCGTCCATATTGTGGTCCTTGGTCCGTGTTCTAAAATTGCTCCCTCAAGCCCAGAGCTGCTGGCAATGGGTCCTAGAGGCGGGCCCTAGGAACCACAGGGTCACCAACTTCCAATATGCCTTTCTTAAGGGCTGTCCACTTCCTGCCTGAGCTCTGTGCTCGCAGAACTGACTCATCAAGGTGACACTCTGGCCTTAAAGACTATTGAGCTGATGGCCAGGAACTCCTGAGCCCTGCTCACACTTGGGACACCATAGTGGCTAAGCAGGGCCGTGGGCACAAATGAAGGGGCTGGCCACTTCCCTTCATGGATAGCCTGGGCTGAAGGTCTCCAAAGTTAATAAACAGGAGGCCCATTGTGCCTGATGCTGAGGAACAGAGGGAGTCAGAGGGAGCTAGAGTCTGTGGGGCTAGACCAGGGTGTGCACCCCTCACTAGGATATCAAGGCTTGACCTTGAAGCCTGCCTTCCTTAACGGTACCCTCACAGTGTTCCCCAGGAAGCAGAGCGCAGCAGCTACCATTGCCTGCTGGCTGTATATCCATTGGTTTCATGAGAGCCTCGCAACTGGAAACAGGTCCCCTCCCTCTGCTTGCCAGCAAAGTCAGGTTCTGGGTTAGGCAGGGACATCCCTGTCTGCAGTGATTTGATGCTGTGATCAAGGGTCAGGCAGTTTCTTCTTACCTGGTCATCCTAGCACCAGGTATTCTCTGGCTAGGGGCCTCAGAGACTACTGTTGTCCCCTGGAAGTGTTTGCTGTGAGTTCTGTCTATAGAGCTGCGATCAGGAGCCGTCTGTCCCTGCTTCTTGCCAGGGATAGTGGGAGGACCATAAAGGGACGTTGTCCTGGGAGGTTATGAGTGGTCCACCAAGAATGTCCTGGGCCAGCTAAAAACCACAGAAGCAGCATGGGGCCACTGACCACGGCAGATCAAAGCCTTGGAACACAGACCCTGGCCCTCCATTGGCCCTCCATTGGCTCTGCCCACCACATTGGAAGTGTGGTGGGCAGAGCCACGCTACCTGCCCACCACACTTCCTACAGCAGTGACTCTCAACCTTCCTAATGCTGCAACCTTTTAATACAGTTCCTCATGGTGTGGTGACCCCCAACCATAACATTATTTTCATTGCGACTTCATAACTATAATTTTGGTACTGTTACTAATTGTAATGCAAATATCTGATATGCAGGATATCTCTTATGTGACCTCTGTGAAAGGCTCAATTGACCTCCTAAAGGGGTTGCAACTCATAGGTTGAGAATCTCTATCCCACGGAGTTCATTGCCCCCTCCCCGCCCCAGCGTAAGACAGGGCCTTGTGCTCCCACACATGCTGTTCCATACGATATAGTACGTTTCTCTCTGCTTTTACTTGTACTGTGAGTGGCGTGGAGACCTGTTCAAAGGACGGATGCGCCTTCGTGCAGCCATCCCCTCCCTGCCCTGCCCTCCGGGTATCAGCTGTCAGTCATTGCCTGTCTTTTGCTCCTCTGCCCCGTGCGTTCTCGTTTTTTTATCTTCTTATATTCTGGCGAGGCTCAGCCGCCACTGCCCCCACCTGCAGCAGCTGTGATGTGCTGTGTGCTTGTATCTGGACTGGTCAGTTCCTATCCGGTGCCCCTGTTTAGTTCAGGCTCTGAGGGGTGCCAGGCTTTCCACCCAGGGCTGGGAGCATTCCAGCCCAAGCAAACGCAGAGCTGGAGAAGCGGGAGGTTGCACGCTCAGTGGCGGGCTCACAACTCAATAAGATCCCAAGTCCTGATGGGCAGACATCGACAGGCCAAATGCACCCGTAGGCAAATGTTTGTGGAAGGCACTCTCCTGGGACCGAGGTGGGGCCCCCCTCCCCTGTGGTCACTCCACCACCCAGCCCAGGCCTGCGAGACTGCAGGCTCAGCACTTCCACTTTGCATGGACAGAAGCCTCTTCGATAAATTGAGCTCTGAAAACAGCCTCCTCTCCTCCCAGGTGAGAGGATGCAGCAGAAGCCAGGCCTTGGTGTGGACAGGCATCTCCATGGCTGCTCACAGCCACAGGGCCCCAATAGGCAGGTGTAGTGATGAAACTGATGAAGAGACATTGAGTCTGCCTCTCCACAGACCCAAGGTGGCCACAAAGACCAGGGCTCCAGGCATGGCTATGACTTCCATCAGGCATTTCCCTGCAGGCCCTGGGGCAGGTGCAAGGCCACCAGGTGTGCACATGCCCTGGAAACAGTGTGCCCTCCACCCTCTACCTTGTCCTGCATGTGTGCACAGCAGCCAAAGTCCTCAGAACAGGGCCGCAGGCCTTTGAGCCTGCCTTGGCCTCCTTTTTCCTCTGCCCTTTTCCCTGCCGTGAAAAGTACTGGCTCATTTGTGTCGGAGCCCGCATTGTTCTGAGCATCCAGGGTCCAGGCCAGAGCTGGGCACGAGTCCCACTTGCCCTTGGGTTCTGCCAGGAAGGCACTCAGACCTCAGGTGGAAGTCTTGAAGTGCTGGCCACCACAAAGGCTCCCTGAGGGCTGCAGGCCATGCCATCAAAAGCAGGGCCCAGCCCCAAGCTTGCTCACGATGCCGTGGCCTGAGCCGTTCTCGGGGCTAGTGATGGGTAGCCAAGGCTCCTATACTGGAGTTTTAGCACTGACCAAAGACTTGCTATGGCTAGGACAGCCAGTGGGAATCTCCCTGCTCCTGCCCTATACCTTGCCCGAAGCCCTGCTGAAGTCACGAAATCCAGGGTTAAAGTAGACAACTGAACTGTAGCTCAGGCTAACTGACATAGCTCCCACTGTCATCGCTAGGCCATTCTTCTCCTGCTAGGCCTTGCCAGGAACCAGACATAGGCTGTCGTGTTCTTGATCCTGCAGGACTCAGGGAGGTAGATACTGTCATTGACCATTTAGCAGATCAGAAGAGGCTCAGAGAGGGCAAGTAACTTATTAAGGGGCACCCAGCCACTCATAGCACAGCTGGAACTCAGACCTAGGTTTTCAGCCATTCTCCTGACCAAGCCTCTGCATTGGCTGATCCGGTCAGCACCCTTATGTTAGACTCAGTGTGTGTGTGTGTGTGTGTGTGTGTGTGTGTGTGTGTGTGTGTGTGTGTGTGTGTGCGTGTCCTACTATCCACTCTGGTCTCTGGTGAGTCTCAGGCTCAGCCTTGCCATCTGTACAGTAGGCACAGGGTGCCAGCACCTCGAAGGCCTGTGGCTCCAAGGAGATAACACATGGCTGCTTCTCACCACTCTCCCAGGCTTAGACTAGTGCAGACGAGGGTGTGATTGGGTGGAGAAGAGGGAGAGCCCATGCTCCTGAGTCTCCAGTCAGGGCACAGGGCCTGGCACATAGAAGGAGGGGCCCAGGCTCCGCCCACCGCAGGTTTCCACTTACTGATAGCCACCAAAGGAGATTTGCTTTAAACCCCACCTCCCTGTCTTTCCCATGGGATGCTCCTCACACCGTCCTTTGTCCCGGGTGATGGCAGGGCACTGCAGTGTCCCTTACTTATCTGGTACTTGGGAGGCACCTGGCAAGCTAACAGTACAGGCCAGGCTTCTGGACCTGGCTGGGAAAGTCACCCTGAGTCAGGTCCCTTAGCGGACAGGGGAGGGAGACTGCTGTCCTCCCCTTGGTTCCCTACTTTCATTTCCCCCCGGCCCCCTCTCCCCAACACACACACTCCTGGACTATCCCAATCTGGTCCTCTCCCCACTCCCGTCTGGCCAACTCCTGTCCTCTGCTTGCTCTCTGCCCCCAACCCCTCCCTGGTCAGGAATCAGATTTCTGGTCTGCAGCCCCTGGCCCTGTGGTAGGTGAAGTGTTATTCTTCTCTGCCTGGCATGTGGGATTGAAAAGAGGGCGCAAGGGGGGACGAAAGAAGAAAGTCTGCCTCTGGCTGTGTCCCTTTCTTCCTGAGCATGTTACAGACCAGCAGGGCTGCGGGATCGAGAAGCTTTCAGGGCTTGGCAGGCCAGGGTCACCACGAGCACGGGCGACAGAATAAAATGGCCTGGAAGCAATCCGCCGCCCAGCCCTGTCTTAAGCACTCACAGCCGGAGAGGCCCGGCACATTGGGCTTTTATTTGGCCCAGAGCGTGGCTCGGCGTCCCTCTGTTGTCTTATTCCAGCTGGGGAGGCCTGATGGGCTGTGGTTAGCGGCTGCAACTTTCACCTCCAGAGCAGGAATGCAGGCATGAGCAGCATGGCAAGTGGCTGGCGGTGGCTCATTCCCTCCACCCGCTCCCGCCCCCACCCCTGCCTTATCCCCTGCCCACTGAGCCTGGCAACACTGGCCAGAGCAGAATATAGATAGAAAGCACATACAGTAAGAGCCCTTGAGCACAGATAGTCCTGGCTCTCTGAACCAAGCCTCCTAGCCTCACAGGACAGGGACGGAGTCCCCTGTCCCATCAGTCCAAAACCAGGCCTCAGTTCAGACATACAGTGTTCCTCCCCATGCTCCTTTTTCTCTCATGCCTTGACCCTCTCCCCACACACACGTGCCCTCACACGTGCAGCTGGGTCCCTTTTCCCTGTAAGCTTAACCCTCCAGGGGACACACTCTCTCCCTGTGCCCTAACTTACTTTGCATCAAGCATCAAGCTGGCTTCATAACTGTCCACAGAGGAGACAGATGAGCCCCGATAAAAACCAGTTATGGGTGTGGCTGATGTTAACTGAGCATCTAGCATGTTCTGGGCCCCACGTGGTACTAATTGCAGCCACTCCACATTAGGTATAGGCATCCGAGCTCAGCACAGCCAGTCAGTGACCCCAGCTTGGAGTTATTTAG